TCTAGGATCTTCTGCTGTTTGAGCGGCGGCCATCTTGGCTAAGTGCTTGGTCTCTAGAATATTTAGAAATTCTTCTCTGGTCGTAGAAGGTGAAAATTCGGAACTTCTAGGATGTTGACAATGTCATTGATCTTATGAAAAAGTTTCTTACCCGCCTGGTCGAGTTGCTCAAATCCATTTGTATCCAGGGGTGAAGGAGTTCTTTTCAGGAAGTTCTTCTGGCGCTGGATTGCCTCGAATTGTTGCTTTAAGGTCGTAAAACTGGATGATAAGTTGCATGCGTTCATCCTCTGGTGACGCAAGTTGCACAGGTGGAGCCTGATCCCTAATCTCTGAATTATCCATCATACATTCATAATTTTTAGCATAAAAATTCCCAGTATTTGGCTGAGTTGCCGGGAGCTTGTCAAACGAGCGACCATCACTCACGGTGTCCATCCTCGGAATCCCCACAGGAAAAGGATCAACACAGACACCGAGAGGATGAAGACAAAATACGCCACTTAGCCAACAGAGAGGAAATTCAGTGTAGAAGGTTAAGTCTAGTTCTGCAATCCGAAGCGTCATCGAGATATCCTAGGAGGGGTCCTTCCATATGATCAAGAAACTGAACGACATAGCAGTTCATATGCAGAGAACTCATTCTAAAGCAATGCACTATGATAAACTTGCATCTCATTCTCTGGTCATAGATGTCCAGTACATGAGGAGAGGACGATGCTGGAAAAAAAAAAAATTATTGCATTTTTTGTTCTTCTACACTTTTGTGTATTGACTTACTTAGTTATTTGTGAATTTTTTGTGTTTAGAATAATAATTTTAGGGTTTATTTTGTGTTATTCGAATTGGTGGCCAACATGTTTTGTATTTAAGTGCTTGTTTGCTATTTATTATTTAGAACCGTAAATCTTTCAATTCTGGTTGCAAGAACATTTGAATTGTAAAAATAGCTCAAGCAAAACGCAAGATATGGCAGATTCGTTCGTAGTGGGCGTTGGCAAAATTTTTTAACGGTTGGCAGTTTTCCAGAATATTCGGGGAAACACATTTTCGAAGCCCTAAGACTGATTCTTCCAAAAACCTATGCTAAAGCATATAAACACAGATCCGATATTAAACAGTTCTGAATCAGTTATGAAATTTAGTGTTTAGCTGAACTGCAATTTAAAGTTTATTAGTGATTTTGAGGATTGCTTGTACTTTAAGGGTGAATTACTTAATATCCGCGTTCTCCATGAGCTATTTATTTTACTGCGGGCACTATTTGTTGTACTTATTTTATAATAAATATTTCATTTCTTCCAGTTTGTTTGGAGTTGCTATTTAAAGAATATAAACCTACCAGTAGCTCGTCACAATGAACTTTTTCAAATGGCGCTTGTGAAATTGCATGCCACAAGCGTATTCACAAAGCATACAGACCATTTCTGCTACGGTCTGCTCTCATTGGATGAAACATCTGCTTGTCGGTCATATTTGGAATGGCCTTTATGCATCTATTCCACATCGCATTCAATCTGTACTTCAGTCAAAGGGTGACCCAATCCACTATTAATAAAGATTTTCCATTATTTCACAGGTGTTCATATTATTTTGTCCTCCATCTGTATATGTAACAGACATCATATCTTTTTTTTTTTTTTTTTTTTTTTTTTTTTTTTTTAATGTGGAAATATCCTTTCTTTCTTAAACTAACATTTATATGATGTTAGCAACTCTTTAATATACATAATGGTAAAAAGTAAACTATGATATGTCTGATATGTTTGCCTTTGCTCAATTTGAAAATTAGTTGGATTAATGCTATTGAAAATCCTTCTAGTAACAAATGACCCAAACTAATCCTAACTAAAATGCTTTATTTCACTTTACTGGTTCTTACTGCTTGGCAAAATAACTTTTCAGAAACTGCTTTAAAAATTATCATTAAATTAATATCTGCCAGTGGGCTTTGCCAGAAGGATTTTCTTATAAAATCGAACTCTATACATTCTGGTCAGATAACCAGCCTATTCAAGTCTCTGTAGTTTGAAGAATTTTATATTAGGTTGTTTTTATATCTTGTATAGCTCTAAATAACATCTTCTCGATGATCCATTCATACAGACCAAGTATGCAACGCAATATCCTTCTCTAAAAATCACCAATGATTTCTCATCATGTAGTCAGCACCCAAGCTTTTGACATGCAAGTCAAAACGAATCTTATCAAACTCTTGTAAAGAAGTAATTCAGTTCTTACCTTGAGAAAACTGGATTTTAAATAACTCTTCAGGCCATGAAAATATCTATTTGTCATCTCATTTTTATAATTCATCTTCGCTCCCACGTAAATGAAACCAGATCTTTTTCAAATCTATAGCTACTAATTTCTAAACGACTGAATGGTAAGTCAGATTTTAAACAAGGGATATATTTAAATTTATTTTCATTAACACAAAGGCTCCATCTTTCTGCACTTTTTGCAAATGCCATGGATGCTTATTTAAGGAACAATTCTACCAAAAATGCAAATATCATCTGCATATGCTAGTAACTGAATATTCTTATTAAAACATTTCCTCTAGTATTGATCCTAGAATGTATAAGTTTTCTGAGGGCAGTATTAAACAGGAGGCATGCAAATGCACCCCCATCTCACTCCATTCTTGACCTCAAATTGCTTAATTAAGACAAAATAACATGCTGAAGAAGTATTAATTTAGTCAAACAACAAAAATCAGAGTTATATTTGCAAATTTTCACAGGACTAGTTTCGATGGTTTTACCGAACCATCATTCTCAGCTACCAAAGTGCAAATGAATAAGATACGTATGGCTGGACAGGATTTAGCCACTGGCGCCATCTATTGATGAAACGATAATTAAAACATAATTTCCTTAAAGGCTGAAGGCAAAGATGAATTGGAATTAGGTTCGTTAACTAGAACAGAAATATTTTTTTGAATGTGAAACGCCTCGTGGAAATCTAATTTACCAATGGAAGCCGTTTTTTGAATAATTTTGGCTGCAGAAAAATTGAAAGTGTGATTTTCCGACTAACAATGCTAGGTAACAGAGGACTTCCTTGTTTCCTTTTTTCTAACATATGCCTTATGTTCCTTAATGCGAAATTTTAAGGCTCTCTTAATTTGACAAATGTAAATTAAACCACAATAGCAAGGAATCCTTTAAATACCCCAGGAATTCATATCCGGAATGGGGTCCTTGAGTATGGAACTCGGAATTTTATTGATGGGAGAATAAACGACCAGAAAGGTAAAATTCTGCACAAAATTTAACTTTCGGATCGTTTTTTTAGCGCAGTGGATCTTTTTTCCTTTTTTAGTAGCACATTTATATTTATCAACAGCTAATCTAGTACACTTTCTTTGAAGCATATTTTTATATGCTTTACTTAGGTCAGTAGTAGACCTGCATTTTTGACTGAAGCAGTTTTCACCCATTGCTTTTTTTGCTCTTCCTAAGACTGTTGCCAGATTCAATAACAGTCATTTTTAACAGATTCCATTTCTCATCTATAGAAACCAATTTGAGGTTTAATTCATTCCGTTATCTCTGCTTTAAATCTTTCTTTATTGGCATTTGAGATTTCTGCTCTGATTTTAATCATTACCAAGTGATGATGTGAGTTAAAATTTGCTCTATGATATGCTTGACATTTAGTATGTCAGGCATGTCTGGTGTCAATTAAGCCATGATCAATCTGATTGAAAATGCCACAATCTAGAGATTTCCAAGTCATTTTGTGAATACTTTTGTGTGGAAAGCAAGTTCTGGTCACCAGCATATGTTGTTCCTTAGCAAAAAATATCAGTCTCTGTCCTGGCCACCACCATATCTTGTTCCATAACAAAAAAATATCAGTCTCTGCCCCTTATCATTTTCGTTGACATTCATTAGTTTTTACAATTCGAAGATGTTTTTGAAACACAAATGCTTAACATACACATATGTTTACATATGTTTTATGTGAAACATATGTAAGAGAGGAAATGTAATGTCGGCAATAGCTTGTAGATGCCCTGAACCAGGGTCATCCAATAACTTTCTTTTGGTATAAGGTAAGAGGTCTGATATAACAAGCAGTAAATCCAGACTAAATTTTTCACTATAATGTATAAAAGTGTGCAGATCACAAGAAATTATAAATTAATTCAAATGTAGAGGAATATAAAAGGTCTTCAACTCCTTTCCTAGGATTGTCAGTTGAGATCCCCATGTGAATGGGCTTTGATGTCCCCGATGGGAATTGTTTTCATTAAAGTACTGAGGTAGGTGAAATTATGTTTATTATTAAAGGATTATACAGGGTGTTCGGGATAAATTTGATATATTTATAATTGACTATATTTTTCCTAGGTTGAAGGTATTGACACACATTACTTGTCATTTAAAAGTTTGGACCCTTCTTCATTCATATACAAGATGTCAGAAAGGATGGATGACTGGTACTCACCTCAATCATGAAAGAGAATAACTTGCATCATGATGATTCGTGCCGGCCATCAAAATAAGGATATTATGACTGCTGCCCAATGCTCGCTGAACACAGTAAAAACAATCAGGCATGAACTAGAGACTTGCAATGGTGACTACGAGGATGTAGCAAGAAGAAAGATCCCTAGCAGACGATCTGATTGCGTTCGTACAGCAGAATTCCTCGCAAATCTGCAGGAACAGGTGTTGAAGAACCCTGTCATTTGAATTCGGGCTTTGTCACATGAAATGAATGTTGCAGCCTCTACTATGAAGCTTGCACTCAATGAAGACCTTCACTACTCATACAAGCGGATTTTCTTTTTCCTTATGAAACTGTCAAATTTATCCCGAACACCCTGTATATAACAATAATTCTAAAGATGATGCTATATTTCCATATATCCATATTTATAACTTCACTTTTATCTTTTGGATGGTTCATGTCTTTTTCTAAGATGATACATCAAAGAATAAGAGAAATACTACAGTGGTTTGTGTCCAAAAATTAATTTCAAACTGAAAATAAGACAATAGAATTTTAATGATCATTTAACTCTTACAAATATGTTCTAAAAATAAACAAATCAAATTTAGAATATTAAACAGTCAATCTATTTGCAGGAATGTGGCCCCTGTCCCCGATTGATCTGACACGCACAGTACCATTACTATATAACTGTATCCAAGATATGCTACAATGGGATAATGAGAATCGTATCCACATAGCAGGAGGTATTTGTAGAGATCTAAAAGCAAAATTATGCTTCAATGAAAAATAATTGCATAATAAATGAAAATCTCCACACACACACATCTACAGTCATATTTGCAACAAAAATACAATATTTATATTTTCAATGCTTTTATAAATATAAATTTAGTCAGTTTAAAAAATATTAATGCATCATTTGCACATTTGAAAATAATTTTGATTGTAGCCATAAAGAATCTTCTCAAGAAATAAATGCACAGCAATAAAAATAAGACCTAGAGAATGCTTTTATTTGTTAACCCTTTTGCCACGGGTGCCTTCACTGAAGCGCTCTCTTGGAAAGGCCTCAGGTATCAGAATCAATTTTCAAACTTTATCAAATTTTCCCTAATTTTTTTTTTTTATAAAAGTATGAATTCTAGAATACATTTTTTGAATTTCCTCAAATAAATATATATGGAAAAATATCCAAACAATCATAGATTTTATTTTATTATATTTTGCTAAAAAAAATGAAAATTACTAAACATTTCATTAAAAAATGCATGAGGAAAACAGAAAAGGGGGGGGGAAGAAGCAATATTTAAAGAATTAAATTATGCTTTTTGATTGTTCTCATAAAATAAGTAAACCACAAAACATTTTCATTTACATCAGTGTCATGCTGAAAATTGCACCGATTTTTTTAAGATGGGGGAAAACTCTCGGATGATTTTGTGGAAAACTTTTTTTTTCGCAGTGTATTATAAAATCATCATAAAAAATCAATTTCTTCCAGATTCCAATTCAAAATTCAAGTTCTTCCAGTATTAATATTTAGTGCACTGACAAAATCTAAAGGTTTCAAATTTTGAAGTAGCCTATCCAAAATGTACCCACTGAGACCACTGTGCTGAAATGCAGGAGGCACGCATGCTGCGATTTCTGTATCTGATAAATGTCTGCATTAGAATAACTATCACAGTCCAATTCTTCACAAATATCATTACTGTTCTTAAGTGTCAGAAAATGATTGATTCATCATATGTGTATATGCTTCGGTAATTCCTGTTTTTCGTCATTAGAAGAATAAGAAATATTTGCCTAAGGGATACCCAAATATTCATCTCAATGCTAGCCAGACTCTGAAAGGAATGAACAAACCTCTAAAACCATATAAAACATCTACCAAAAACAAGTTTTCATAAGCATGGAGAATGTCCATGGCCATTAGCTAATGCAGTCATTAGCAGCTCTGTTTATTTACCACACTCATCCCCATGATTCCAACTTTCATTTCAAAACAAAATACATAAAATAAAAAATAGTTCATGGAATGAAGGTCAACGTTCTCCAGTCATGAAAAATTCCACTATACCAGACAGGGTGCATATAGTAGCAACAAAAAATATTAATTAAATGTTTTATTTAAAAATTCATATAGGGTAGATCTGTCTTCAGAGTCAACTTAAACAGCAATGCATACATGACACACCCTATTGTAAGATAGCATTTGTGGTTGATGCATATGTGACATAGCCATCCTGAAAGGGTTAAAGATGGTAGGTTGGTTGGTGCATTCAATGATTACCTACAAAGGTTGCCACATGTTCTCATTTTCAAGATGAGAGCCAATGTCCATAAACTGAACACACAAATTTTAATTTTTAAAAAATGCTTAGAACAGAAGCTAAATCTCTACAAAAGAGAGATAGCATGATGATGTGGATGAAGAGAATGTACATTGCTGCAATGCTGTTTAACTGCGCAAAATTATAAAAATTAATCACCTTTTACTGAAACTCCAATTCAGAACTCGTCAATGAATTAAAGCTTCATAAAGGTTAACATGTTTTATTTTGCATATTTTCCCTTTTGCATTTTTATTCTTCAAGTTTGTTTTACTATGAATTCTTATTTAAATTTTGATTTGTTTAAATATTGTGTTATACTTCTTATACACAGTTGTAATTATTAATATTTTTGAAGAACTGCCTTGCTTTGATTACAGTTTAATATTAACTTTAGATGCTGTAAATTTATTTTACTTCAGTCCTGTAGCTATAGCATAAAAGATTTTGTTTTTCCTTTTCAGCCTATTTTTAAGTTTCTTTTTGTACTACCATTAGCAGCTTTCAGCGGTTTTATTCCTGTTTCCTTTCGACATTTTTTTTTTCCCGTTTTCCGATTGGGAAATTTGCAAGGTTTTTTTCTTTTATATTAATCAATTCTTAGGTTTTTAGTGTTCCTTCCAAAAAGACTAACTGTAAAGAAGGTAAGCTTCCTCTTTGTTTTTATAATTGAACAGAGTCAACTGAAATACTAATTCAGAAGTCAAACAAAAAAAATCAGCATTATATTTTCAAATTTTCACAGGACTAGTTTCGATGGTTTTACCGAACCATCATCCTCAGCTGCAAAAATACAAATAACTTCTGAATTGGTCTTTGGTCGGCATGTTACTGTTTCTTAATCAACTGAAATAATTGAATTTAAAAATTCATGTTGAAAAGTGACTCCGGATTAACAAAACTCAAACGATTGACTTCAGACAAAAATTTAAAAGTCTGCCTCACAAGACTCACAAGAAAGATACCAAGAATAATACAGATAATTCTTGAACATTTTCAATTGCACAATTTCGAACAAATTAGTATTTCTATCTTGGATATTATTCGCAATACCAAAATAAGACTTTTTAAGGCATCCATTTACATATCACAAAATAACACACTTTACCCCTATGGGCTCAATTCTTATTTACAGAACAATTCAAGAGATAAAGACAATTCAGTTTATAGTCAATTTGGATTTTTCAACAGCATTTTTTCACCAAAAGTATTATCAATTTACTCCACACCTTCAAACACAAAATATCCTTAAGCAATTGCGATACCACTTTCAATTTAAATATGTAAGCCTCATACTACTAAAAGACATTATAACACTTTTGTAAATACAAACTACATAGCAACAAATCTTTTGAAAATAAACATTTCTATACTATCCATTTCAAGTATCCCGTTTATGACCGATTAAAAATTAATAATGTGTTTTATTATTTATTAATAAAAAGAATATATTTATTCATCCAGAATCCACAGAATCAGTAGCTCTCTCTGCATGTAATTAATTATGCAGAGTTCTGACTGGAACTGTCTTACTTCTAGAGCAGAATGCAAAATTCACACATGGAATATTTATTCTAAGCTACCATTAACATGACAGAAATAAACTGTATGAATAATATCTACCTAATTATTCAGAAAATCTTAGATAAATAAGAAGTAGCAAAAACTTGGGAGCATTACATATATTATCACAGGTAAAAAAATATACAATACAAAGTCCGAAATCCGGACTTCCATTATACGGAATGGTCTAAAATCCGGACTTCAAAACCACCAACAACGTTTTCTCATAGGTTTTATGCATGCACATTTGATTCCCCCCCTCTGCACATAATAAAACATCTGAAGAGTCATGATTCTTAATTTCACTTCGACACTAAATAAAATACATTGTTATTAAAGAAACAATCATTTTAGCAAAAATGTGTACAATCATTAATTTGGCTCCGTTGCTGCATACCTGCTTGGCACACATCTCAAACTGAAGCATTCCACACAGATATATCATTGATTTGATGCCAACCTGGCGAATCATTATTTATTATAGTTTCCTTTCATTACCGCATGTTTATCAAAAGACGACAACTCGAGTAATGACTCATGCAGCAATGCCTAAACAATTTTTTTATGATAGTAATTGAATAACAAAAAGTATGGTAAGCTTTTAAGTTGATATTACGCTTGGCGATGATTACAGATTTAAGTTAAATGTGCTAAAAATGTTGACGAAAAATTTAACAAAAATTTCTTTCCATATGACAAAAATAGATTTTGTTGATGATACTCATAGACCCAAAGATTACATTTAGGGCTAACTGAATTAAGAATAACTGATTTGTTATTCACATAAACCCAGACCCAGCGCCAGGGCTCGTATGGTCGCAGAATTTAGGAATGCCAGGCCTCAATAAGGCTTAGGTATATGTGGGAATTTATTTATTCAAAACTCTGATGAGATTAAGTATATGCAAAAAATAGACATAAGTATAATAAATAACTAAACTAATACACTTCAGGCTTAATTGTCTCAGTGCTTGATAGAAGCAAGATCAAATTTAACGGAACAACTTGTCGTTAAGTCGCCAAGCTCATCATGCATAGCCAAATATGTACAGTGAAGTATAGCTAAATTTGATGATTATAGCCGCTAATTTTAAAGGTTTTCAGATATATATATATAAAGGGGGGTGAAATTTTCCAATTAACGGATTTTGTAACGAAATGTGGAAAAGTGGTAATAAATGAAGATGATATAAAAGAAGTTTTTCATTGTGACGACAATGCTTCTCAATCATTAATCAATTAATGAAAGGTGAAATCTGTAGTATGGTTCTAGATCCAGAAAATACTGCTACCGATTGTGAAGAAAGTTGCAGAGACGTTACTGAAAAAGAGAAAATTTTGATTGACAAGTTAGTTGGAATTCTCAAAACCAGCAGTTACAGGACTTCTAACAATGTAACTCAACAGAGATTATGTCTGTCTACAGAATTAAAAAGAAAGTATTAGCACAAAAAATGAAGCAACTTAAATAACTTAAATTGAAAGAAATGTTTAATAAGGTAAACAAATAAATATGGAGCTTTTTTTTTTATATAAATTGTGATACCCTTTAGATTATAAATACTTCATTATTTCCTATTTTATAATCTCTACATGCCATTTTACTAGATTTAAACTGATGATCTAATATCCGGAAAAATCTGAAATCGCCGAAGTTCCGATGAGTCCGGATTTCTAACTTTGTACTGAATACATTACGACATAGTTCCAAAAGGAAGGTATTTATTGGAAATTGCTACTTTTGGATCCTACTGGAATCACGTTTCTGGACAACACGCTAATGGTATATAAAGTTCTATCAACAAATATTAATAAGATTAAATATAGTGATTATACTTTACTTTTAAAATGTTGAAATGGATAGTTTAAGAAAATTAGAATTCATCTAGCATAATTTGTATAAACCTTAAGTATTTGTACTCAGTGTTTCACAAACAAGCAGAATTGTAACAAATTGTACCCCAGAATGTTTTTATGCAAAACAACAAATTTAAATATCCCCAATAAAACAAATCTATATAATTTTTTCATAATTCCATTTTTACTTTTATAGTTTATAATATCATATAGTTATTGCATCCTCATGTACGAATGCTTGTAGAAAAATGAATATAAGCTCACATAGTTATGCACCTTATTAAGCGTAAGCATTAAAAAATGCCAAGGTTTGGCTAACGCTTTATCTCGGAATTTTCAACATTATAGAACTTGCTGTCACGATGTCTCAGCGAACGCTACTCTGAGTAAATGCCCAGATAGATTTTCCAACAGGTTCAAAGTAGAAAAGGAAGTGCTGACTCATCTTCCCTATGTTTCTACTTGGTCAAAGTAGTCGTAATGTGCAGTTCGCTACAAGCTGCTCGGACAGGTGTAAACTGGCCTTGAAACTTAACTCTCAACAAGGAGATATTAATTACCTAGATTTCAAATTATGAATTTTAAAGATATTAAAATTCATGGCAAAAGAAGAGATTTTGATTTCCTTAATCCATACACAGTCACTCCTTAGAATAAAAAATATTTGCAACAATGTCAAATACTTAGAAGAAATCACAAACTTAGTCAAAATTTTCTTAGAGAATAAACTATTCAAAATTTCTGTATCTTTAAAGAAAGCTGGCATCAACTACTTTTTCTAAAAACTTCTCATCTAAAGTGATATGATAATTATTACTTAACAAGTTATCGGAGGTAATAGTTGGATGAATACGATAAGAAATTTAATCTAAATACGTACAAAGATCTTGTTTCTTTTCTCTTTTAATTATTATTTATACTATCTTTCTATTTTGTAAATTTAATAACTGGCAAATCTTGCTTTTACTAAAAAAATGAGGTTGCTAGTTTTAAAGTATTGTACCCCGATTGCATGAGGATTTTTATCTTTTACAACCTATATTTTTCCTTTTCCTCCGCTTTGAACCAGTTCTGTCTTCACCTTTCAAGATTTTACAGACAGCATCTTTGAGAAGTTTCGTATACCGCTATTTTGGAGTTGACAAACACCCTCCTTGTCGGCAATAATTTTTACAGGCCGCACCTAACATTTGGCAACCACTGAGCACAAAGTTTAACAATATAGGACATTTTGAACCTATGTTAAAATAGTTTATGAACATGTTTAAGTTCTGCTATTGGACACTTTGAACCTTATCACATACTTTTTCCAACAACTACAAAATTTTTGCTTCTGCAGAGCACCTTTAAATTCTACTTTCTTTTGCAAGGAACACAGTTTGGTTGTCTAAGAATTCAGTTAGTTTACATTAAGAAAGTCACCTTAAGAATTCAATAAGTTTGCATTCTTTTCAATTTTTGTTCTAAATGGGTTTTCAGTTTTTAGCTGTTTAAGGCTCTCAATAAGTTTGCATTTTTTTCAATTTTTGTTCTAAATGGGTTTTCAGTTTTTAGCTGTTTAAGGCTCAGATTTTATTATTTACAGAAATCTCTATGAAAAGTTTTTCGTTTTTTTGGTATTAAAAGTCTAGCATAATCAGGAACCACCCAATTTTTTTGTGTTGTTTAAATGAACATTTGATTAAATGCATATTCGTTTTGTTCTTTATTTGTAATTGCTTTTGATTTTCAGATTTGCATATAATGGTTTTAGACCAATTTGCTTTTTTGAATGGTCAATTTACACAATGTAAAGTTTTACTTTTTTTTAAGTAGTCAATTTGGCTCAATGTTATCTCTAATTTTTTTTCCCAAGTGTTTCAAAAGTGTGTAGGAAAAATTCTGGTATTTTTGAGATTCGATTTTTGATCGATCTCAACTGAGCCAGAAGAACGAAACATGTTTTTAAACATATCAATAAACTTTTATGAAGCTTTAATTTATTTTCCCCTGATGAGTTCTGAATTGGGAGTTTCAGTAAAAGGAGATTAATTTTTATATTTTTGCATAATTTCCCTTTCATATTTTTATTTTTCAATTTTGTTCTAATATGAATTCTTATTTTAATTTTGATTTGCTTAGATACTGTGTTATACTTCTTAAACACGGTTGCAATTATTAATACTGTTGAGAAATTGCCTTGCTTTAATTCCAATTTAACATTAACTTTAGATGCTTTAAGTTTTATTTTACTTCAATCCTGCACCTATAGCGCAGGACGAGTTTAACAAATTTTGTTTTTAAGTTCCTTTTTGTACTATAAGATATTACTGTATACTAAGATAATTTACTACTTTATCAAGTCATGCAAAACATACTGTACATTACAGTATACCTTCTATGAAAAATTATAAAAAATTATGTTATTTTAACCATATCCACAATAATGAGCAGCAAAAGGGAAAAAAAAAAAAAAAAAAAAAATGGAGTTTCTCAACAAAGCATCATAATGAACTCTTTCAAGCAATGATAACAATAAAAATCACATCTACTTTTCAAATCCACAATACACAGAATCTTTAATTTCAGTTGCAGACGTCTTATTTATAATAATCATTTAAAACATATTAATAATGAGATAGAAACAACTCCACATTTCTTAAACAGTTATTTACAATTCTGGCTTACCTGCAAATAAAGTAACGTATAACATTCGAATGACATACAATTATGTTATATTTATCACAGTCATCACTTTCACTTGGACACTGGAAGTAATTCTCATATGCCAATTTCAGACGAATATTTTCTTCTCTCTGAAAATTTACCAGTTGTGAGAATATTTTTAAAGATAGAAATTTTGACACAATGCATGCTATATAAAAAGATTATGTCACAGGAAACGCACACAAATTATGTACCACAAATATTTAAATAATAATAAAAAAATCTAGGAATTGATGTTAGAATAAAATAATTATCTGCCGCCAAATATAACAAAAAGATACTCTCAAATTTGGAAGGATCTATAACAGGAATTCAAATTGTTTAAATATCAATCATGATACATAATTTTAAACAGTCATACATACATACAGCAAAAAGCAACTGTTAATCAGATTAATAGAAGTTGATGAAAGTTCTGTTTTATTTAGTATAGATTTACAAGTTAGTTAACATTAAAATATATATGTTCCCATTCAAAACAACTGAATCTAATTTTATTTCAAGCTTTCAAATGGTTCATAGTCAAATTTTCATTAGAAATGGCAAATATGGAAAACTATATACTGAGCAACCTGAATTCTACCAACTTACATAAAAAGTGTGTCATTTACTTTTGATATTAATGGATAAATTTAAACCAATGATTAAAATTCGTCATAGCAAAGTAATAACTGGTCATAACACTAAGACCATTGTGCCAAATGATACTAATAATGCTATTTCCTTTTTCATGTAGATGATTTATCAGAAGTTGAAAGCTACACTGGTACTTTTTGTTTATCTCCATCTCCAAACAAAGATGACGAATTTGTTGGTGACTAAGTTTTCATCAAAGGCAAGAGCCATTTCGAAAATGGCAGTGCACTAAGAATTCTATAAAAGAAAATCAATAAAATTAAAAAAATAAACAATATTGTTCTCTTTTTGTATACAGATATCTGTTTTCATGTAGGAAAAGCACCAGAGACTTGCACAAACTTCGCATCTGTATAACATTGGCATTGAGCACAGGCCATAACAGACATAACGATGCATATACCTGGGTCGCTATACAGATAATTTTTGCTGATATGTAGGTTATCCCATAACTATTTTGAAGACATACTGTGTGCTTCATGAATACTTTATTGCAAATTTTCAGTAGGAGCATAGATAATCAGAGAGTACGACTAAACTTACACTGTACATAAACCACCAAAACTTGCTGGCCATTAAATAAACCACAACATGAAGATAGTAGCTGATCACCCATGAATAGCCATGCAGCCAACATGTTTACTGAGATTCAAAGCCTGGACTAAACTACTGATGCTCAGTTACTTTATCACTCGACCATGCTGGGCTTCATTCAAGAAGGAAGGAGAGATATGCATTCTCAAAATGACCTTGATATACAAAATATCGAAGAAAAGAAACATTTTGTATAAATGGTCAGTACCTATTAGCCATCTGACACATTTTACCACATAAAATATGGTAAATGGCACAGCAAGAAGTGTCTAACCATATAATGAGATATCTTGAGGATTTTAGACTGGTTGCATGGTGGTCATTTCTTTGCCTACCTTTAATGGTACAGCACAGATACCTACAGTTTCAATGACATACTGAATGATGCATTTGGAACACATGAATGACATCAGAGTCATTTTCACACAAATTCTACTTCTGCATGCAACATCATGATGGAAGAGTCCATGTATATTATCATTGTGGAGAATGTTTGTTCCAATCTCGTCTTATGCATTGTCATATAGTCCAGTATTAGAAAAGACACATGCAAAATGTTTTCACATGGAGTCAAAACATTTCATGTTTTAATTTTTATAATGGATGTAAAATTTTTCAAATATAAGTACAAAGAATGGAATATGCAAAAAGATTTTGTATTTTATACAAAATTATTATTGTTCTTAATTTAAAAATATGAGAGCATGAATCTACATCATTTAACACAAATTGGAAACATATGTCTATGGCCAGAGGTAGCAAAAATAAAGGGCGGGTAAGAACTTTTGCAGACACAGTATACCTTATATGATATACAAAACACAAATATTTGAAAAAGAACTATTACCCGATGATTAGGATCAAAATGAGCAGGTAAAGGATCTGGGCTAATTGGAATACACTCATTTAGAAATGGGCAACACTCCATAGGAATCCTCAGGTAATGCTCAAGGAATTTAGCTGTTGTTACTGCACGAGTCAATGATGAATGTATAATTTTTTTATATGGAAAATTCATTGATTTCAAGTAATATCCAGTAGCCATTGCTTGTTCTTCACCTATAAACACATATTCAAAAAAACAGTAACAAAAATTTCAATTTTAAAAAACGTGAGTTAAGTACTATATTAATTAAAGGTGATCTAACAAGAAGCAGGCTGAAGAGAATTAGATATTTTTTTAATTCATCCCTACCAAAAATGTCGTAAAATGATTATAAACAGCATGCTTTAATAATCAGTATAATTTTACATGTAGCATAGTCATAGCAAAGCACGTAAAAGGTAAGGAGAACTCGCAAATTTTGCTTCAATTGAAAAATTACCAGCATTTTGTACAAAGGGAAAAAAAAAAAAAAAAAAGTTTAACACACACACACCCCCCCAAAAAAAAATTGCTTTTAAGATAAAAACACATTAAAATATTTCACATTCTTCTCAGTGAAGTGCAATTAGCACTTTTGAGATTGCTAATATTAGTCTCTGCTGGAATCCTAGGCAATTCTATCATATACAACTACTTGATACATACCACTGCACTTTTGTTTTAAAATGCTAAAAGTAAAAAAAATCATACACAGGGAACCCAGAACTGAAAAGGCAAACAGCATGAAAGTATTTTATATTTTCCTCAAATAAATTAAGTGCGAAAGTATTTTATTCAAATAACAGAGTTTGCAAATGCTAAAAAAATGCATTAATTTTCAAAACCCAATGCAAAATGGAATTCCATTTCTTGAATTTTATGTTCAAGCAGAGGACACACTTATTAAACAAATTTACACAGTTTGGGAGCATTAGAAAGCTATTTGAGTAAATACTGTTAAAGCAATGTAATTAACAGATTAATAAAAGGAAATATGAAACAATTTAGTATAATACAAACTCAGAGATCTGGAATTGATGCAGCTTCGGCTATCCGGATTTTAAATAATCAGTTTAAATATAATACAGTTACACACAAATATGACAACTCTAGGGCTTCATTTACTGTTTAGGTCAAATAGAAAAATGTTAAACCTCACAGGGCTAGCTGCGGAACAGGTACAACCAGTGTGGCTACATTAGGTATCAGAATTTATGAGAAAGAGAGGAAAAATTTTAGAATTTAGAGGAGAACCATGCAGCAAAGATTACGAATGGCAGAATTTTTAGAATTTAGACCCTAAGGAAGTTGTATTGAGCTGCAAAATATGTAGTGCCAGCTCTGTTCACCCCAGACACAACCAATCAAGGGCTGAAAGTGTGATCCTGGCCAAAATCACAACAACATCAATTATTACATTGCTAATCAGCAGATGTTTGAAAGTGACATGCAGGAATTTCTTGTCTGGAGGAAAATCACATTTCCGTCACACCAGCTAACTTACGTTATTATATTCTCCATTCCTACATTTTGTAATGGGGTCATTTTTTTAAAATTATTTTATTTATTCCCTCCTCCCCAGGCTGGTAGTCCAAATGTCTGGCTATTAGATTATTCCAGATACTGCATGTCTGGATTTCAGACATTGCACTGTATTTTCTTTCACTAAGCATCATTTCACCTTTTCATCAAACATTTTTTTGGTACATCAAAAATTTCTGTCTTATAGCTGCCATTGTGAAAGAAAATTTTTGAGCAGTAATTGCATGGCATGGAAAAATATTGCCAAACAGAAAATGCCTGAAAGCAATAAAACTGTTACAAAAAAGTTTAGGTTTATGATTATTGAATTATGGTTGGTTTAGTTGATTATAGAGAAACATACTAGGGCTATCTGCCTAAAGAAAAGAATGCCTTTGTGGAGGACTTTATACTAAGGCTATCTACCTAAAGGAAAGAATGCCTTTGTGGAGGACTTTCTAAAGAAAACTGGCTCATATCAACATTATACACAGGGAAAATCAAGAAAACGCCCATGCAACCAGCCTGTTTGCCCGGAGATGAACCCAGGTCGAACTACTAATTGTCAGGGATTTTACTAATTGGCTGCTAGTAGGCTGTATATAAATAAATATCTCAAAATTATATTTATTTCTGGCATACAGTTTTTGCTTTTATGGCTTCAGCAGAGTTTTCATTTATTGTGCACTGGTGCTACATGAATAGATAGACCCAAAGAGATGTTGAGCTTACCCTCTCTCTCTCAATTTTTTTTTACACCATAACAAAATATAGAAGAAGAATCATGAAATGCACCTTCTTATCAATCTGAAAGCATTTGGAGACGCAGTGGAAAAGCATTCATGTTAAAAATGGGTTTTATACATCTGGCTAAATTTCTAAAAGTGCTGTGGATTAATTACTTTTGGATAGAAAAAATTCTGTCCAAAGTTCCCTCTAAGCTATGCACATATGCTCAAGGATGTCTTAAAAAAATTTAGAGCAGAAAATTAACACGCACACATAAACACATCACAAAGTAATAATAATAATTGCATTACTTTTCAAATATGTTCATTATGTATATATTGGCATTTAATATGCAAGTTTGTGTTGCCCCATACAGCTGTAGGAAATATTGCTGTGTACTTGTGATGTCTGCTAACGTGAGAAATAAAATGTGTATTGTTAAACAGTGACTAGCATGTGGTACATTGTTCAAAGTATAGCTAACAATATATATGGTTATGCATTGTAATGTATGCTCATATAAATTATATATTAACCATGGAGAACTTTCCAAAAAGAAGGAACAAAGCAAGGGAATTTAAAATCACGGCTTAATAATATAGCTGAAACAGACACTGAAGACTAAAATAAATTACAACTTCCATTACAAGAAATATTTTTATACGACAAAGAAAATGGAGTTATTTGTATTTACTGTCATGATGGACACGGAAAGGATGATTTTATTAGTGGAATAAAATGGACAAATAAATGAAAATTGGATTTTTTAAAATGGCATTTAAAAATAGTACATTTCCTGTAGACAGTATAGCAAAATTAAAAGCAAAACTTCCTTGCTACTGGAAACAGGAGCAGTATATTTGTTAAATGAGACCCCGGATGAACATTAAAAAAAAATCTATTCAGAAAAAGTGTAAATATTAATTAATAATGTATTACTAGCAGTTCAAACGAACATTTCATTGCACTCTGTCCAGGATACAAAGGATCATATGGCAAGATGTGTCAAAATTCAGAAAATTGGCAAAGTAAGATTTGTGCTTTCCCATTTTTATAAATTATCAAGTCCATGGTAAAAATCGACATGAAAAAGAATTCAAAGCATCTACCTAATTTTCACAATTAACAGTCAAAGAAAGTATTGACATTTCTCTATCGCCAAATGTTTAATATAAAGCTTTGTTCAGATGACAGTTTTGTAATAGCCAGTCAGGGAAGGGAAAGTTATGCATGTATAAATGTATAAAGACAGTCAACTGATGTTTGCTTTGTTGTGATTGGTCGGCTTTTATACCAAGCAGCATAAAGCGGAAAGATAATAATATTCAGGTAAAATCCTCAAACCAGTTTTTTTTTATGTTGCAAGGTCTGACTGCCTCGCAATGAAGCTTAGCTTAGACCAATTATAATTTTAAAACCACCACGTCAATGAAGCTTTATACTTAAAATTTAGATTTCAAAAGAAAAACCAGTATAATACAATTTTCAGTGGAATAATTCAATTCAAATCTTGCAAGGCTTTTTCAATTGTTTCTGCAATAAATGTGGTGTATTCCACTTATGAAATTAAGGATATTCTTTTCAGAATATACATGTAGAATCTAAAATACAATACAAAGTCCAAAATCCGGACTCGTCGGGACCTTGGTTCTGGGTATATGTGAATAAAAAATCAGCTATTCTTAATTCAAATAGCCCTAAATGTAATCTTTGGGTCTATGAGTGTCATGAACAAAATCTATTTTTAGCATATGGAAAAAAATGTTTGTTAAATTTTTCCTCGTCAACATTTTTTAGAACATTTAACTCAAAACTCTAATCATTGCCAAGCGTAATGCCAACATAATACTTTGTTATTATGTTGCCATATTACTTTGTTTTTCAATTACTAACATAAAAAAATTATTTAGGCATCGCTACACGAGTTATTACTCAAGTTGTCATGTTTTCATAAACATGCGGTGATGAAAGTATAATAAATAATGATTTACCAGGTTGCCGTGAGATAAATGATGTATCTATGTGGAACGTTTCGATTTGAGATGTGTGCCAAAGCACATATGCAGCAGCGAAGCCAAATTACTGAGTGTACAAATTTATGCTAAAACGATTGTTTCTTCAATAACAAGGTATTTTATTTAGCGTTGAAATGAAATTAAGAATCAGGACTTTCCAGATGTTTTATTACGCGTGGAGGGGAGAATTAAATGCACATGCATAAAGCTTATGCGAGAAACGTTTTTAGTAGTTTTGAGATCCGGATTTCGTACTTTGTACTATAATATACTAAATATTCAAGATTTAACTTAATAAAACTCATCACAGTTCCAGACACAACTGAAAAGAATACACCATAAAACTTGCTTATGTTAAAACTACAATATTTTATTATTTAGACCATAACATTAAAAACATTTTTAAAAACTGCTGCAAGATTCTGAACAGGAAGTTACACTCAGTAACACAGAAGTAAAAAGGAGTAAACTTTATCTCCTTAGTAAAAGAAAACAAATTTACAATAACACGACTCATATTAACATTTATTAAACAAAAATATGAAATATAACATAAAAACAGTCATTTTTTAATGAAATGAAGTATATAAAGATAATAATACAGTTATAAAAATGATTGTGCTTACTTCTGAATACACATAGTGAAGATTAGGGTATTTTTGATTACTTTTAAGGACTGAAGTACTTTTAAGGACTATTAATGAAAAAAATTAAGGACCTATGAGCAAATGAGAACTGAATAAATTGAATTAAAAATATTATTTATGCCTGAATTTCACTTTTGTAATACCATCCTAAAAATAAAATAGGTCCCCAAGTAGTATGCATTATTACTAAACATGAATTAATTAACATAATTATTAATAAGTTTGAGAATAAAATAAACTTTATGCAATTTATCCAGTAGCATTAAATATTTTACACTTATA